ATTAGCGGAGCGAAACGCATTCAAATTGGTTATAGAAGGCGTGTACGATGTAACGATAGCCACTCAATGGATGAATGAGAACGCTTGCATACGCTTCCAAACGGTTGTAAAAAAATAACATTTAAAAAGCGTAAGAATAACCCAGGTTAGTTACAAACCTCTAATCTGGGAAGAAGTGCCTTTCCGTCAATCACCGAAAATGGCGACGGGCCGGAAACTCCGGTGAGGCTCACGCGTGTGGCTCATTCGATTCGAACGTCCGCGAAGACAACTATAATTGGCAACCATAAACAGGGGCTGACGCTAGTTGCTAAGGCCTACAACGTGGGGTGGCCACTTTGTCCCGGTCTCCCCTATCTGACCTCATTTGGTCGCTGTACTGACGCGTCCATTCGTGAAGTGTCATGTGTCACATTTAACGTCTCCCTAATGCCCATTTATGCGACAATGTAGCTCTATTCGCTCCAGAGTTTTAGTTGAGCCGATTTGTCGAAAATGTCATAAAAGGCGAAGCTTCGCCTTCAATGACCTGTGACGACCTGACCTTTGATCTGTCCTCAAAATTAAAAAAAGCAATTTATAGGTATAATTCTTGATTCTAATTTGAGCGCCGTCTATTCACGTGCTACTACATGCAGTAGGTGAAAGAGGGGAATGTTCATTTACACTCCCACCCCATGAGACCCCCAACAGGGCGTGAAAATCCAGGAGGCCCATCGGCCATTGCGATCGGGCGTCAGCGTGGGTTAACCCGCGCACCGACGGGGGTCTGCGCCAACTTCGCACCGACGGGGGGGGGGGGCGGATGACCGCCCCCCCCCCTGAGATCTCGAGAATGAAGCAAGATAGCGACAAGCGGTAAACGGCATCGGATACACACGGTCAAGATCTACAATTTTTACTAAGGTCATTTTCAGGTCAGGTCAAAGATGACGTCACAGGGGTCGAAAAATTCAAAATGGCGGCGCTAGATATGGAGAGTTTTTCTCGAATAACTTTCGAATTAGTCAAGATAGGAGCAAACTAAGGGCATCATCGTGATCCTCTCGTCAATCCGCATCGAATGATATATATGTTGACCTCGAAAGGTCAAGGTCAAAGGTTGACCTCAGGTCACGTGACCTCGAGGTCATCATGTATATCATTCGATGCGTCTTGACGAGCTGAACACAATGAGACCATCCACGCGGCTGTATCTTGTTCCTGTACGGAGTTATTGGCCAAAAACCTTTGGTGACCTTTGATGACGTCACATGACCTCACAGCTGCCCAACAGCAAAACAGACCTCAAAGTAGTGAAGGTTGATCGTATATGAAGTCATGTATGGTATATGGGGCCATTCCGACCCGTTTTAGTGGTAAAAATAGGGAGTTGATTTTTCCCCCATTGACTTATAATGGGGAGGTCGCGAAATTGACCTGACCTTAGGTCACCGATATCAAAATTCCGAGATATACAAATTGTAGCTACTAATGACCTTATAACATCCTGCGACTTTCAAAGGCCTCCGACATCTACTGTAGCTCTGGCACGGTGACAAAGTTGCAAAAAAGTGACTTGAGGTTGGGTCATTCAAAGTGACCTGGTGACCTGACCTTAAAAGGTAGGAGGTTCAAACTTGCACACCATGTGTAAAATTGATGAGGGAATAGTCGTACCAAATTTCGCGGCGCCGTCAGTCTTTTCACTTTTATGAGCGACAGCCTGCACGACCCATGGCCCCACGATTACGCAGGAGTTCAGTCCCGTTCAGACTCTTTGTCGCTCTTTCATGGTCCAGTGCCGCCGGCAATTATTGCCAGGTGAGGTCCAAAGAGCAAACTTACCTCTCAATGTCCAGAGACGGGCCATGGTTGAACTCGTCCTTGTCCGTGATGAGCGTTTCTTGCGTTTGTCGGCGCCGTCCCTAAACAGGATCATTGCCGGTTCTTGATCTTTCATTTTCTGGCATTGGCATGCCTCGGTTGACACGCGAGCCGAGCCGTAGAAGAATATCGAGGATCGGGTTCAGGTTGATGCAGGTCTAGGTCAAGGTTGGTGTCCAATGTTCAGTCTGTTAGCACTTATGCTACATCACTCACTACCGAGCGACTGTCCTGCTGCTGCACCTGGTCCCTGGTCCCTGGATGTCACTGCACGGACACACCAGCAAACACCCATCACCCACGCCACGCAACACACACCACGCACAACACACAACTTCACAACGTTCACAACAAACGTAAACGTTATGAGCGCGGAAGGAATTCGAGCCTTCCGCGCAGAAGGGTCGCCTCGGGCGCATCCGCCAACGGCCGAGACACCCCTCTCCCGGCCCCGCCCCTTCCCTCCCGGCATCGTCCCCTTGCTCCCCACTCCCCCCCCCCTGACCGCGTGAGTGGCGTTGCGCCCAAGACCCTATAGGTAGGTGTCTAATGTCTATGCGATAGCATATTGCTCCTATAGGAGCAATTGCATGAGCAATTGCCTATACTGAGCAGCGAGCAAGGATCAAAACAGTGCGTCAACCACTTTGACGAGAAGTCCCAAGAACTGGAAAAATGATAAATTCAACTTTTTCAAATGTGAATTTTGTAAGAATGGGAAAACTGATGCCGCGCTAAGCGGTGCCTTATACATGAGTTATACGTACAGCATGGAAGTTCAAGTGAGGTGCGGTGCCCACCATCGGGCCTTGCCCGCACCCGGTTCACGGATCGGATATTAACCCGCGCCGGGCCGGGGGGGGGGGTGTTTGAACACCCCCCCTGCGGTTTTTCGCAGATATCTCAAAAACGGAGGTGCGGAGCGCCGCCGTTTTTGGCACACCTGTTCGTGCATCTTTTCCGCACATGTTGTGAAAATTTAAGACCCAGGTCGCCTTAGGTCAGGTCACCAGGTCACGCCAAGTGACCTCACCTCAGAAAAATAGGAATGCTCGTCATAGCTACACCGATTGATCGATTGCCTTGAAACTTTCAGCGATTGATAAGAGCAACTATATCTACAAAATGTTTATCTCGGAATTTTGATATCGGTGACCTAAGGTCAGGTCAATTTTGCGGCCTCTCCATTATAAGTCAATGGGAGAAAATTGAAAAGCGTCTGTTTTGCACGAACGCTATTCTAGACACTCTCAAACATCGAGATATAGGTACAATTGACACACTGAACCGGAAAATGGCAACTGTGACCCCTCGTTATGTCCCCGAGGTCATCTCAGGTCACGAACAGAATCTATCAGTTTTTCGCTAATAACTTCTGATAGAGGCGTGCTAGAGCGCTGAAAATGCCTTAGATGTGTTCGGCTCGACGTTGCGGATCGACTGATATGCAGCATGACCTTTTCCGGTCAGGTCATGACCTTGACCTGAGGTCAAATTTTCAAGCTGACCTTTCAAGGTCAAATTATAGTTCATTCGATGCGTCTCGACGAGAGGAACACGATGCTGGCAAAAGTAATGTCATGGCTTTTTTGAGTCAAAAGTTATTGCCAAAAAAAACACTTTTCGTAAAAACAGCTATTTTTGAAGTTTTTGCCCTCTGGAGGCTAAACCGTTGACCTGAGGTCAAATCTGAGAACATTACTCAGAACGGTCTGTAAAAGGGCTATCGAATGCGCTTTTCCGCGGCGCTGTAGCTCTATCGGTTCCCGAGATAGCCGTTGGCAGTTTCCAAAATGTTGAAATAGTCAACATTTTACCTTTGGTGACCTCTGGTGACCTGACCTTTGACCTGACCCAAAAAATGACCGAAGTGTTTTCGTCCTTATTTTAGACGTTCTTTCGATTGCCGCTTACCGCGTGTCTCTACGTGGCCCAGGAGCCGAGTTAGACGGGGGGGGTGTTCAGACACCCCCCCCCCCCGGCCCGGCGCGGAATCTCAGAGCACCGGCCCGGCGCGGGTTAAATTTAAATCGCAATGTCGTGTCGTGGGCGTCCCATACATATACTTATGTACCTAGGCATCGCAGATTTATTAGATTGCGGGTTGCGAGACGGTACCCCCAACTCCCAAGTCCCCGGTCTAGCGTGGTTCTCTCTCTCTCTCTCTCTCTCTCTCTCTCTATCTCTCTCTCTCTCTCTCTCTCTCTCTCTCTCTCTCTCTCTCTCTCTCTCTCTCTCTCTCTCTCTCTCTCCCTCTCTCGACTCTTTCGCCAGTTGCCAGCTATATTGCCAGCAGCTGCATACAGTAATCCACGGCCGCGAACTCGCTGCCACCGAGTTTCGAAACGGACGCATTAGGACCACAAGGAGGGTAACGAGTAACGACACGGAGACTCCACTAGGACAAACGGTCATGGTGAACAGGGAGCGGGAGGGGGGGTATGGCTCTCCATTTTTCAACCATTTTTTTAAAGTAGGTAAGTTTTATACATTTAATTTGCAACTTGTAACTTAGAAGTAGGTTAGACTCAAACTTGAAAGACTGAGTTATGGCGTCTTCATTCCTAGACTTCGGCATAAAAGGCACTGAGTCACTAGAGCTGGGCGCACCGTAACGAGCTTTGATAGGAACGCTAAGCTTTTGAGTTTCACATCCAAATTCTCCCGAACTATTCGGAATTGTTCAAACAGACGGCTCAGGCTGCATGGGGTCGGGACCTGCGCACGTGCGCAGCATTAGCTCTAGCTCTACCCAAGGCCAAGGCTATGTAAACCTACTTAGGTCCTTGGTTCCACACAAGTCAGCTTCTTCTATACCCATCCTAACCTCTGTCATGCCTGATGTTGGCTGTAACTCTGTCAACCCTTTCTTTCATTCATGACAATGCTACGGTGAATAAATGAATAAAAAACAGAACTTTTTAACTAGAATTTCTTTTTTTACTTATAAAAACTCTCTCTCTCTCTCTCTCTGAATCCTGTAGCTTATGTAGTAGGCATTAAGTTGTAAAGTAAAACAAGCATTATTCAACTCACCACATTTTATATTTTGGTTGCGGTGAGCCTGAAACCTGCTGCGTGAGAATTGTATTTGCCGCGCATATTTATACGACAGCGCTTAGAAATTGATGAACGAATGACAATTCAATTGAAGTGTTGGGCCAAATAAGCATAGTATTTATCGAATTTAAGTTTTAACCATAAAAAGGTAAGCATTATGTCCTATGTATCGAAATTATTACGCATGTATCTGCTCCCTTGCCTCGAAACTAAATTTGAATTCATGATGGCTTGATTTTATTTTTTAATGATGGCCTCAGGTCTGTAACTACGGTTCTGCGACACCTGAGCGAGCGTCATTTCAGCGAACGACATTTGAGCGAAACATTTTCAGCGACTATCAATTTAAGCGATTGACCTTTTCAGCGATTGTCAAGTCCGCGAATTCAATCACAGCGATTATCAACTTTGGCGAGGACCAGAATCAGCGAAACCAGATTGAGCGAGTATATGGTGGTCAATGGGAGACCAATTGAGCGATGCAGTTACAGCGAAACCGAACGCGACAAAAGTCAATCATTTGCTACTTCTCGGAAATTCTTGCCCTTGGAATACCCGTTTGGTAGGTGTCATGCTTCAAGCTGCACGCGGCAAAATATTAATTTGCTTTTAACCCTCGCCCGCACATGCCATTTTCCCATCCTAGAACGCACATGGGGGGGGAGGCTGCCACCCCCCCCCCGCGCCATTTCGTTCCTGTTGGAGATAGAGCTTAGCGCTAAAGACCAAAAAGATTCTTTGGGAAGAGACGAATCCAATGATACCCAGTTTTACCTTCTCAGGTCAGTCATTGACCTTCCAGGTCAGGTCAAACTAAAAAATGTTGCTGTTTTGGGTCACCGTTGGATATCAAGTGTGCTGCTTATCAAATACCGATGACGATGCTGTTTTCTGGTGCCAAGCCAGCTAGAACCTCTTAGTCACACTAACCGACCAGAATTTTGCTGCTGAGGTCATTTCAGGTCAAGTTAGGTCAAGGTCAATTATATGTGTTTGTATGTCTGTGTGTGTCTGTGTGTATACTGATGTGTGCACCGATTGTTTTTGGGTCCATATTACATGAAATCATGATCTGAGAAGCTTTTACCAAAAATGCAGTCAAAAAACTTCAAAAAAGTAAATTCAGCTTGCCTAAAACGCAATTATCTTAGATGACCTAGGTTGACCTTGACCCTGACCTTGACCCCTGTACATCGTCGAACAACATGTTCCATGATAGGTGGGAGGTAAGACTGGCAAAAAAGGCCGAAATCAGGGTGTCAAAAGCTCATAAGGCCCATGGCAAACGCAATATGTTGAGAATTGGCCATTTGGGTCATGATATGACCTGACAAACAAGGTCATATCTCCCTCCGAAACAAAAAATCACAGAAACTTGAAATTTACAGTGGACATCAAGAAAGGATAGAGGAGCAGCTATACGAAAAATCAGCCTTCTAGCTCTAAAAATGTTGAGTGCAGAGCAGAAAGACTACCTGGGGGGGGGGGGGGCTGCAACCACCCCCCCCCCCCCATGTGCGGGCGAGGGTTAAGTCCTTGGCTTTCCTACATTTCTTCCTTCTCAGCTTGTGGTCAATAGTTTTGAGCAGCTGGACGAACTTCGGGAACAAAGTGATTTGAAAATTATTGCACCGCTTTACGCATCATTTGAAGACACATACATCGGACGACCAACAAGGGGTGGGAGGGGAAGGAGGCGGGCAAAATTTGAATTGAAAATGTGGAATGTGAGAGATAGGACGACGGAAGGAATGCCAAGGACCAATAATAAACTCGAGAGATGGCACAGGAAAGTCCAGTCTATGTTTCAGGGACCTCACCCAAATACCTGGAAATTTGTACGGTGCTTGGGGCAAGAACAAAATTTACAACATGGGAACTGATCCAAATTCAAGCGGGGGAATTTCGTGAAAAACAGCGCAAGCGATATGAATCTCTGAACAAATGTTTGGTCACCATGATTGGCAAAGAGCAGGGGAGTGAAATTGAACCGTTGAATTTTTTTTTTTTAGAAATGTAGCATTAAATTTGGAACTCAATGTCTGACCTTAGAACGTGACATCCGCCATCCAGTTCCAGATAACCATGAGAAACTCCGAAAACTTTCGTACGCAAGGTTACTTTACTATTATACGTATGCGCTGGCAAAAGTAAAAAAAAAAAAAAAATGCACCGTAATAGGACGATGAAGTGTTTCGCTGAACTGACAGTCGCTCACATTGTAGTCGACGAAATAATTATCGCTGAAACATAGCTTTCGCTAAAATTGATAATCGTTATATTTGATAATGGCTTTACTTGATAATCGCTGAATTGCCATTCGCTGAAAATGGTTCGCTCAAATGACGTTCGCTCGAATGACACTCGCTAAAGTCGCTCGCACCGGTAACTACCCCCATCTGGCAATTTTTGTGTTGGTAAAAGCTGTCTATGGTTTGCTTATGCTGATTTCATTTTATTAGGCATCTTTATTAAACTTATTCTACATTTTATGGCTTCTCCAATGACACCAAATGACACTTCATAAAGGAGATACGTAATGAAAATTTATTGCCAAGGAGTAAGGAGTGACAGAAGATATAGGTATTTACCATAATTTTGTCAGGTTGCTTTCAAAGTGCCTGTGGTTCCAGGCTAGAAATATTGGTAATATTTTCCTGATTCATGCAGCATAAAAATATCAACCGTAGTAGGTAGGTAGCTCTAATTTTTTAAAGGCATTATATTAATATTTACATTAAAGTTACTCTAGCAGTTAATGTATCTCACCGTTGGTTATTTCCTTTTCTATTTTTCAACATTGCACCATGAAAACACCCAACCTCTCTCGTCTCTCCCCTCTCTCCCCAGCCATGTCAGTCTGCGTGCTGCACTCGCTCCCTGCCTGCCTGCCGGGGCTATCTGTCTCCCGGTACCTGTACACGCGCCGGCTGCATGCCGGGCTCCTGGAGGCGGCGCGGTCGCACGGCGAGCGGACGGCGCTGGTGGACCCGTCCGGCCGTCACACGTACCGCCAGCTGCTGGCGCGCGCCGCGGCGCTGGCCGGCCGGCTGCGGCGCGCCGCTCCCGAGCCCGGCTCCCGGGTGGCCGTGCTGGCGCCGCCCGGTCACCAGTTCGTCTCGGCCCAGTGGGCCGTCTGGATGGCAGGACATGTAGGTGAGGCGGAGGATAGGGATACTGTGGGGCGTCGTAGGAATGACGTCGGCTTAAGCTAGAGATTGTTGTGAAATGTGAACAATGAATTGTAGGAAAGCAGCATTATAAGGAATGTCTTGTTGTAGGAAATATTCCAGACAGCATGCAAACTACTGCACTCACTTGTTGTCGAGATTCCTGTTTCATCATTCACCTGAGATGAGAACTCAGCCCAGTGTGTCCCACCCGGTCCATCCCTACCCTCCCTCCACCACCCCTGCCGGCAGCTGTACCGCTGTGCGGCGCCCACCCGACCTCTCAGCACCGCTACTACCTCGACGACTCCCAGTCGGCGGCCGTGGTCGGCACTGAGGAGACGGCGGCGCAGCTGGAGACAGCCGTGGCCGACTCCCGCCTGCCGCTGCTGCTGGCTGACGGCGAGACGACGGCAGAGGGAGGAGCGGAGGGAGAGGGAGGAGCGGAGGGAGAGGGAGGAGCGGAGAGAGAGGGGGAGGAGGTGGGGAGCAGGGAGGACCACCAGCCGGCGGTGATTCTGTACACCAGCGGCACCACCGGACCGCCCAAAGGTGAGGGCGGGAGAGGGGGGAGGCGGGGGGCCTGGAGGGATGAAGGCAGTTGACTAAGGGGTGTTTAGGTGGGGAGTGATTGTGGTTTTTTTTCGTTGCCGACGGAAATTTGGGCTGTCACCGACCTGGGATTCACATGGCAAGGCATTCTGCATTACCACATGGGAATGCCAAAAGCAGCTCTCCAATGTCAACGTTCATTTATGAAAAGGGTTCTTTTCACAAATGACGTTTTGCGAAATATCCGTTTTTATCCAACGGCTTTTTTATAGGCATGCCATTCGCCTAAAAATAATGTCGACCTACACTTACGGGAACATGTCTCCGCTGGGACACCAACACGCCCACCTTCCCAGCGGCCCCACCCCCGCTCTGACCACCTCTCCCCCTCCCCTCCAGGTGTGGTGCTCACCCACGGTAACCTACTGAGCCAGACGCGCGACATGGTCTCCGCCTGGCAGTGGCAGCCGTCAGACGTGATTCTCCACACGCTGCCACTGCACCACACACACGGACTCATCAACGCGCTGGCTTGTCCGCTCTACGTCGGCGCCAAGTGAGTGGGGTGGGGAGTGGGAGAGGGAGGACGGAGAGGATGGGGAATTGGGGAGGTAGGTAGCTGGTGGGAGCCTGAAGGTGTTGCGGGGGGAGGGGAGGGAGAAAGGAAGTATAGGAAAGGGAGTGCGAGTTTGATCAATCTTTAGTTTTGTCAGCTTAAGGTAGAGAGTAACAGTGTTCTACAGTGTATTCTAGAAGTCACACTGTTCATCTTTTGCTTAGCTTGCAAATGTTGGATATGAAAAACGCCTTTCATAGCAGTGTGCCTGCCGTTAGTGACCAGTGGCTGATCGCGTGTTTAATTCCAACCACTCGTATTTCATTCTTAAATGTGTGTCCCAACTCGACATCCCCGCCCACCCTACGCTCCTGACCCGCCCCTTCTGCCCCAGGTGTGTGATGCTGCCGTCGTTTGACGCCGAGAAGGTGTGGTACCACCTGCTGGACACGGTCTCCGACCCCGCCGAACAGGTGAACGTGTTCACTGCCGTACCAACCATCTACGCCAAGCTGCTCGAACACTACGACAGCAAGAGCAGGAACAACTTCGCCTACCAGTCATTTGTCAAGGACGTCTGCAAGTCGAAAATCAGGTCAGATATGGTGCTTCATGCTAGCAACGCAAATACAAGTGTGAACGTAAGTGAGGTAATGCAAGATTGGAGACTTGATGTAGATTGTAGAATATGGTACTGTAGAAACAGGGTAGGTGATTTTTTTGTGAATTCCGTTTGGTCCCCTGCAGAGTGATGATCAGCGGCTCGGCGGCGCTAGCCCGTCCCATTCTGGACCGGTGGGAGGCGGCCACCGGCCACCGGCTGCTCGAGCGGTACGGCATGACCGAGACCGGCATGGTGCTCACCAACCCGCTGCACGGACACCGGGTGCCAGGTCAGTAGCCTCTGCGCGGGGACAGGGTGCCCGGTCAGTAGCCTCTGCGCGGGGGCAGGGTGGGTTACCGACCCGCTGCACGGACACAGGGTGCCAGGTCAGTAGCCTCTGCGAGGAACCATACCTTCATGCCACCCATACCTTCAGTCTATACTCTCTAACCCTCCTCCCCTCCTCCGTCAGGTGCGGTGGGCCGCCCGTTCCCCTCAGTCTCCGTCCGTGTAGCCCGGTTTGAACCGGGCGTCTCCGGGTACACCACACTGGCCGAGGCGGACGGCAGCGGCGCCTGCACCGTGACGCCAGGATGTGAGGACCAGGTGAGTGAGACGAGGGTTCGAGAGAGCGATGAAAGGGCGCATTCTGTCAGGTAGATGAGTTTGGGTTAACGTATTGGCTCAGTTGAACACTTGGCATTGTGTTGGTGGTTGCCATCCGCCCGGTGTTTTCATGACGTCAGGTGGGCAGGGGACATGCTCGCCACAAGTATTATTACGGAAATTCTGAGCTAGGACGTGGGTGAGCCGCTGTTTGTCCCCCCCCCCCCACACACACACATCACTTACCCCGCCCTTCCCCTTCAGGAGGGTGAGCTGCTGGTGCGCGGCCCGTCGCTGTTCTCGGGCTACTGGCGCCGTCCCGAGGTCACGGCCCGCGAGTTTACGGCCGACGGCTGGTTCCGGACGGGCGACACGGCGCGTCTCTCCGACGGCGTGTTCTCCATCCTCGGCCGCACCTCTGTGGATATCATAAAGACGGGCGGCTTCAAGATCAGCGCGCTGGACGTGGAGCGGCGGCTGCTGGAGCACCCGGAGGTGCAGGATGTGGCTGTGGTCGGCCTGCCCGACCTCACATGGGGACAGAAGGTGAGGGAGATATGGGATGTGGAAAATGGTCGGCCTAGGGAATGGTTGGAAAGATGGGATGCGTTGCGTGTTGTCCAGGCTAATTGCTCTGGAGTCTGGACTCAGGAGCCTTGTGATATTAACGAACTTGCGAAATATTGGCTATGGAACGATACAGTCAAATGTGAATGCTATTACATTTTAGAACGTAGTTTTTAGACGCCTCAGAGATTTTCTTGAAGCATTTTATTTTAGAAAGTTTTTTTTTGGGGGGGTTAGGCCCTTTCGGTCCAATGAGACCATTTCAGAGCCGGGAGGATAATAGGATATAGGGGGAGACATTGGTCTGGGCAGGCACCCTAGTGAGTCGCCGGGGCTGAGCCCGTCCAGAGGACAGGCCACCCAGCCCCATAGTACTCACTGCACCCGGCTACGGGGTCCTCGGGAGCAGCGGTGCCGCTCCAAGGGAGCAGCCCGCATGAGATAAAGTTGCCTGTCCAGCCCGGAGGGGGTTGCGGCGTGGAGGAGAAGGATTTCAGTATCCTGAGGATAGAAGCACGGAACGGTGATTACGGAGCGAGCGAAGCGAGCGTAGTCTTTCCTTAGATTAACGGAAATTTCTGAGTATGAGCGGCCGGCCGGCCGGCCGGCCGGCCGGCCGGCCGTGCGGACGCTTTTGCGAGGCTTATATCTCAGCAACCACTTGACCGATTTACATGCGGTAAATTTTGTAGGGTAGCTTCATTCCTTCTACCAAGTATTGGACTATTCCCGATGCATGTGGGTGACCCCTTATGCACGTGCCACGTGCAAAACGAAGAGATGTCAGTTTTGTAATTGTTGCAATATCTCGGTAACTACTTGGCCGATTGCGCTGAAAGTTGGCATGTAGGTAGGCACCCACTAGGCCCTGCATATCCATGTGCCAGAGTTGGGGTGCTGCTGCACGTGCGCACGTGCAGGGGTCGTTTCCAGATCTCGAGAACGGCTCGACCGATTGCGCTCAAATTTGGTACACAGTTAGGGACTGGTTAGTAGGGTGCCGTGCACAAGTCAGTTGGGACCCATTTTGCACGTGCGCACGTGCAGGGTGCCGCTTCCAGATCTCGAGAACGGCTGGGCCGATTGTGCCCAAATTTGGCACATCGCTAGAGACCGGTTAGTAGGGTACCGTGCCCAAGTCAGTTGGAGGTACCCCCTCGCAATTTCGCACGTGCAAGGCCCACCCTCTCGCTCGCTCCGTTAGTCGCCCCAAAAGGCGTTATACTGGTGATTAGAAAGGGCTTGTCCATCGACTTAAAAGCGGCATTCAATCCGCTCACTGACCCTCTCCTGTTTCTGTTCGTCAGGTGGCGGCGGTGGTTGTGAGCTCCGCCGAGCTGGACCTGGCCGGACTGAAGCAGTGGTGCGGGGACCAGCTGCCGCCCTACGCCGCGCCCACCGTGCTCAAAGTCCTACCGCAGATGCCTCGCAACGCCATGGGCAAGGTGAACAAGAAACAGCTCGTCAAAGACCTGTTCCCGGAGCCTGGGACGGCGCCGGCGGCGGGCGCGTAGTTCCGCGAACGGCCGGTAGGCGGCGCTGCGGGCGGTGATACGGTGGTTCACGGGTTATACGGCGTTATTTGACAGATTGACTGAGATTTCAGGTAGTTATTGGGATTCTTCTCTGACATTCAGGGCAGTTCTGTGATTTTAAACACGTGATAAGTTGTTGCTACAGATATAGATGCGGTTGTAGATGCGGTAGATGTTATCCTGAGCTCGGGGGAATATAATTCGCCGCAGTTCCCCCGGGACATTGACCAAAGTGGTCGCATATCAGCGTGAGTTATGGCCTATTACTGGTTCAGCATACCAATGACCATGATTGGGGGTCCTCGACACAAGCTGGATAGGTTCAGACTAGTTCAGAGTACAGTACGAACTTTGCTAAGGATATATACAGGGGCTGAGCACAAGTTCTCTATACACCGAAGCTCAACTGTATCGGCATTGACGCTCTACGGCAGATTGTAGATCGGCAGAAGCACGAAGCAATTGACGGAACGAATTGCATTGCAAAAAGTGAGAACGGAAGAAGCAATTGACCCATGCGACCCATGCTAGTAGATGCTCATCTCATGAAATACGGTATCTAGATCAGTATTTACCAAGTATTGATAGAATTAGTCGCGCTATAAACTAAGCGTCTGGGGTCTTCTTTGGCGAGATAGATTTGGAAATGAAGTAACAGAACTGCAGGATATTTTTTGATATTTGTGAATATTTAGTGGTAGGTTTTACATGACAACGCGTCAGCTTTGGTGCTATTCGGAAAGCTGCTCGGCGTGTGCGCAATGCGCATCATGAGTGTTAGTCTGTACAACCGTTGTACTTTCCGAGACCTTTAACCTTAGTCCTTTCGACGTTGACCTATGAGAAAAAGGTTTACGAAAAAATACAGTATTACAGAACAGCATCAGCTTCTTGATTTAGCTTGTGCTTTGGTCGATAATATTTAAAGGAATGGATTCTGGCTGTGACTGGCTGCGTATTCAGGTGTAGTCTTTGCGGTTTGGGGCGCTCCGAGACACTGCCAGAAATAAGACAGACTTCGTTCAGTTCAGTGAGCCATGGCCCATGGAGATAAAAGCGGTTTTTCTGATATTCAGATGGTAGAAGCAGTCAATGTATGAAAAGCTAATCCTGTTTTGAGTCCACGACTTTGCATAGGTATGCGAGTGTGTCTTGGAGCAGACGCGGGCTCGAGAAGAGGCTGAGCAATTTTGGGAGTTATAACGATTTGCCGATACAGTAGATCAGTGTCGATTGAAAATGAATTAATCTAGTGATCATGGTCCAGATAAGGCGTATATCTACAAAAGTCACTCGCGAGTTTTGTTCAGGCCACGGAATAAGCAATACAAAGTCCAAATTCCTGGTCCGTCTCCAGCCCCAGTCCCCCCTGCAGGTGTCGGCACCGTCGGCCCTGCCCAGTTCCCCCGTCCGTCGCTAGATGTCGGGTCGGTCGGCGGCGGCCGGCCGGAGTATCGATCGCCCGTCTGCGGCGGCCCGGCCTGGCTGGGGAGCGAGTCGGTCGCGGACGGTCGGTGTCGGAGGAGGGAGCGGTGACAGAGTGGATTGGTGTGACTGGGTGAACAGAGACTGAGCTCGGGGTGGGAGCGACAGGGCGTGGTGACTGGAAAGGAAGAGTGAGGGGTGTTGGTGGGTCGTGGGCCTGCACGGCACGGAGTGGTCGGTGGCCGGTTAGGGCGTGCACCACTGAATAATGACTGGAGAGGTGTGATCACTCAGCATACAGCCTGGATCAATGCTAAGGGCGCGGCACGGGTCAGGTCGTGACCTAAGGTGACCTCTGCGCCGCAGGTCACGCCCTGAAGAGACCCGATGCAGGCCGGCGAAGGAGTGCTCTCGCCAAAGGCGGGCCGCCGGCTGCCGGGGAAGGCGCATGAGAAGCCGCCGGACGGCCGCCACGAGGAGGCACAGGTGAGCTGGCAGTAGGACGACTATCACCCCGGGACGTGGTGCCTGCGCTCTGCAGGGAAAAGCGTTTTGCTGACTTCCAACAGCATTGATGCATTTGTTCATTGTCATCTTTTATTTCTTAATGAACGTTTTGGTCCATTTAATTTACCGTTCTATCAGAAATGTCATTTGTTTCGTTTATCGGAATTCCATTCATGCTCCCAAATTTCCCGACAGTCGACGCAGGTCGCCATTTACACAATGTGCGACCGTTCACTGTATTCGGCTGCCGTCATTGGTACGGCGATGGAGCCCTGTCAGTGTTGTGGACATGAGTCAGCCATTTCCAATGCACCCTCCACTTATGGTCCCGCTGCCCCTGGTCACGTGCTTTTGTCACGGCCGGCTCGGTGGCTGAGATTCAGCGCTGTTGCTATGGCAACCGTATCAGGAAAATGGGATCGAAAATTGGAATCCGCGGTAATTTGCGATCTCATTTGTTTTACCGAGACAGGCTAGAAGATGTATATTGGTTTGATTAATAGTCAGTTCGCTTGGGTAAGACGATAGGACATTAGGAATAGCGAACGGTATGGCGAATGTATTTATTTTCAAAATCTACTTTCTCGGCGTACCTTCTTGCCTCTTGGACCCATTTTTGTATTAGATCTCCTATACCAGCAGTGATGAAAACTGGATAAAAGGATGCTTGCGATAACTTTTTGTGACCGGTTTGGTAGTTATATAGGTTTGTCCAAATCTGATGCCGGAGCGATAATACGGCGTCCCGTTTCGTAGTTCCACGCCTTCCGCCGTTTAATTCATTACTAACGATGGATGCTAATCTCTGCAATCATAGTGAGATCGAGACTATTACCATTCACCATCAGATTATATTCCAGGATGGTTTCCGTGACCGCTGCATGCAATCCTCAGATTAAAAGGCGATTTGTCCCGTGACTGGAGACTTTCCTCCCCCGTTTAGTTCAGCAGTTCGCGTACCGGCCTTTCTGATAGGTGAACTTCAACATGAGCTTCGCATTTTCTCCTAGCAGAGGAACCTTTGTTTGCTCGCCTGTTATTCGTTCCTCAGCTCATTGATGATGTGTGTTCAGCGCTCATTCAAGCGTTCCAGTCTCCCGGCGGTTGTGGTGTATACAGCTGCATTGCGGCACAGTATCTTCAGCCTACATGTATTGCGGCACAGTATCTTCGGCTCACAGATGCATTGCGGCACAGCCTAACAGTCTTCTCTAGGGCGGCGGCAAACCGTATGTTGATGTAGGCGGGAGCTATGCCTGAAGAGAACTTGGAATGCATTTACATATGTTGATATTACATCCTACAGATGGTGAGAAATTGGGCATTATAGTTCTACCCTCAAACTGTATCGTCTTCTTATTGTCGAATGCTTTATTGTTACGATCCTAAGTTAATATTCGTGTAGGAAGAATAAAGAGGCCAGACTTCAGAATAAGTCGGCGATGGCTTTGCATTAACCTTTTTTGCATTGCCCAGTGGTATAGGCATACCGCTTACCAGTTCAGTTTAACACGTGACACGACTACTTCTACTAAGCAGACTACTCCGGTTTGGAGCAATGAGTGAGCGCCGTAGGGCGTAGCGTAGCAGCTCACTTTTGCTTTCACACACGTTTATATCTAAATTCTTTTGATAGTTTATTCCTGAAATAGTGGTTTCTCTTGTTGTTGGTCGAACAATGAAGAGGTAAGAAGTCGAGGTCTAACTTACCTTGTTTGAGATAGCTAATTACAATGATATCGCATTATTCGCTGAATATACTCGTATATTATGGCGTGGTTTACGGCAAACTTGTGCTTCTTCTTACCACACACCGTGAAACTCCCAACATAGAAGGCTCACTCGAACGCCATTGAGCAATCCAAAGCCTCCCTCGCGTAGTTCTGAATTCTGTCTGGTGTCCCCTGCCGTGACATTCGGCCGGTCTGACAGCGCCGTAAGGTCAGCTGATCGCTCCATCACCACCGGTCACCATATCTGCATGGTGTGACCCCGCTCTGAGGAGTGTTCCCGAGGTCACAGACCGGCTCCGGACGGGCCGCACAGTGGGTGAAAGTGTGACCGGGACGGTCAGATCCGGCCTCTGTCCAATGCCGCCGGGTTGGTGTGTAGGTGTGGGAGCTAATGGACCATTCAAAGGCGACGGTATTGTGACCATTGGGTGCGCATTGTGTCCATTGAGGGTCTGTGAAGTGTGATGAAATTTATTGGAACGGGAAGATGTTGAACGTGTGAACGGAACGGTTACGTATTCGATTTAGTCACTGACCAAGTAACTGTCCCGGTGGCTGCCAAGTGCTAGTGGCTATTTCATTGATACCCCTGATCAGATTTGTATTGGTTTACAATATCGATTGCCAAACGTGTCTTTTTAGCAAACCGACCTTAGGCTCAACTCAGTTGAATTTCTTTGTATAAGTCACAACTGTTTATATAAACAGTTGTGACTTAAATTGAATGACATGAATATTCGACACACCACCAAACATCCATGAAATCGATCAGGTGGAACTGTTTGATTCATGCGCCAAAATCCACCGGCTCACAGTCGTGGCGTTTCCCTAGCGCTCACCTGGCCCTGAATTTTCCTCGTTTGAGCCGGAAAGCATGACAAAAACCGTGAATAGACTGAGGTAAGCTTACCGTCGCTGTCGCAAGCTATTTTAGACGTGTTCCAGCTCGTCCAAGCGTATCCCATCTTCACCAAACCAAGGCAACGATGAGCGCCAAAACCAATCGGTCACCGCACGCCGGCCATTTTTCAATCGCGCTTCTCCGGTATCCCGCTACGATCCGTCCGCGGTAATTATGGAAACTGCTGGGAGCGGTAATTAATGAAGTTGAGTTGTGATAGCAGAACGGCGGGGGACGTGACTGGACACCTGTGGGTCCTGTGGAGTAGGTAGGTGCGCGCGACAGGCGGTTCTCGACTGGCTGAGCGTGTTTTCCGACACAGGAGAGGTGCCGTGTCACACTCACATGCCTCACGCTCCCGGCGTACCGTGAGGCTATGCCAGGACAGATCGATTAACTCGAAATTCATAGGTGTGGAGTAAAAATGGACTCCAGGCCACGGTCGTCGGGAAATGGGCTGACCTCAGGTGACCTGGCGATATCTGTCTGTGACCTATGACCTGACCTGCCCGGGCTAGTGGCCACCTCGTCAGCGGACTTTCACCAGGGCTAACTAGCAGTGGCTTATTGATTAAGTGGCCTGATGTATTTATCACGATTATGGTAATACCGGTGATTATAGGTACTTTCATCATGAGTAGTTTTCTTTGATGTAATAATGCCATCTTTTCATATACCTTCTTGCCGTTGAGTCCTACCGCTTTCCGAGTGTGTGGATTTCTATACATGCTAATAATTGTTTTTATTATTAATAGTTTTTGTCAGATTTTTTTTTAATTTGATTCATAACATAGAAATATGGACATTGTTATCCCCCGTAATATTTAACTTTGCGTACATTTTTAATACTTAAATTTAGAATGACTTTCTTCTAAGGTGTTGTTTGTTTATTAGGAAAAACCTTTAGTACCTAAAATCTCGTCCCATTTTTTTTTTTTGCTTTAGCGATTTCCCAATCTCGCTTATCACTAAGTGCCCACGCCCCTGTCAATTTTCTTGTTTCTCTGGTGTCGTTAATGTTATCCTCTAGTCAGCTGTCCCTCGCTCGCGTGAGGTGGCTCGAATCTTTCGATCACGTTCGGCCTTCTCAGGCCGGCCTAGGGGGCGGGGCTAGGACAACTGTCAGCTGACATAGAGAAGGGCCGACCTCAATTACACTGGTCATATTGTCAGTCTGGGACGGACATCACGTGACTCACTGGTAATTGGACACCGTCACATCCAAAGGAAAACAGGCCGATGTCAGAAAGGCGATATGGCGTGACAGGGACATCGATCTGTTCGTATCAGACTTTTGAAGATTTTCATCAGATATGGAATGCAATAGGATTGATACTATTGCTAGAGGTTGCATGATAAGTTCATTTCATTTCATTCGACGTTAATGGCGTTTCCCAAAGAGTTTTTTGTTATTGCAGGGCTTAACCCCTATGAAAACTTATGCTTCAAAGTTCAATGTTTGGAAGGCTGATTGGATTGATTCTATGGAAACATTGAAGGGTACCTACCTAAGCTTTCATTTTTTGTTTTTGTTTTTGTAAACATATACGTCCTCCCGATAATACTCCAGTCAAAACATGCGCGCTGCACGGCATTTAAATCCGGAACATTTTTGTGTGAACACAATGAATAACATTATTTCGATGAAACTCCGTTGCTGGGCCGATACCGGTCTTCAGACCCGGTGTCTCTTCATTGTTATGGCCGACACTAACGTGTTTCCAGGTCATTAAGTCCTGGGCCGTCACCAGGCTGACACAGGACTTATTCTTATGTCAAATATGGTCAGACAGTCGGACGGCCGCCAAAGAAGCTCGGTAAAACATAGCGAGGCTGGAAATAAATTAATGGGACCATGTCGGTCTGGGGACATTTATGTAATAATATGTCAGGAGACTGTGCGCAACATGGAATCTATCATTCTCCATTATTTGTGGGGAAGAAAGAAAGGACGTCTTTCAGATTCTTACGTTTCTAAGACAGTGGCATACAAAACGTCTCAGATGAGCACTCGCACTGTGTGGTTTCAAACTGTTCTAAGCAGTTTTAAATGGCGCTTAATTCGGACCAATACCCCTCACTACCCATATCCTTCCAAGCACCTCCCATTGAGTCATTGACTAACATGGGTTCATTCACCTCAGAAGACCACCACCACATGTCTTCCTCTCCTCCTATGATGAATGTCGTGCCTCTCCCCGACACACGACTGCGCCTTTACCACGAGACACGACTCTGAAACATTAGTCTGATGACTGATGGTCAGTGGGTGCGCGGTGCGCGTCCCTCCCGCTGGGTGACAGCGGTGGGTGTCGGATGAGCGTCACCCGGGGATGACGACCGTC